ACACACACACACACACACACACACACACACACACACACACACACACACACACACACACACACTCACTCACTCACAATCAATCAATCAATCAATCACTCAAACCCCTCTTTTGAAGTTTTTTGTGTATTTATTTTTAAAATTTTCATCTGCATTTTTTTAAAACACCTCATACCCATACAAAAAACAGAAATTCAATTCTAAAAAAATACAGGTGAACTCAGGGACCATATATCTCATGATAAAAAATGACAAAAAAAAAATCCAGCTTTTCTTTATATATAGTTTTCTAATTTTCTTTAAATCGAATTCAGTTTTTGATATTTAAAAAATCTTAAACTAAGTCGGATTCAAAAAAAAAAAAAAGGGGTTGTAGGGCATAAAATTCCCTCCAACCCCATATGTTTTTTTTGTTTTTTTAATCTATTATTTAATTCAGGAAAACTCTAGTACAATCGGTCCGCGGTGCGGACCAGGTCGGCCGCGGACGCGGCCCCATCTGCGTCTGCCATCCGAGATCGGACCCGCTGACGCGTCCGCGGGTGTTTCATAGGCTGAGGGGGGCCGAAGCCGCCGAACACTTCACCAAGGGGAGGTGCATGAGGGTGACACCGAAGATTCTTATCGACATTTTGAATTCGACAAGATATCCCTTCGACCAGCGATGAGAGCGACAGGTGCGGGAGTACATGGAGTACAGCATCCCGAATAGGAGAGAATTGGGAGTTGGATGTGCAGCTGAGGACGAGGTGCAGGGTGTTTTGGACAGGGAGGGGGCGGACGACAAGGGAGGAAAACAAAGCGACGATGACGATTAGGCGGGTGCAGCGTTGGCCCGTTGGGGTTTGCTTGCCATGGGCGAAAGGGCGAGGGAGAAGAGGGGGCAACGACGACGACGATGTGCAGGAGTTAGGAGCATCCCTGCAGGGGGGGGCAGTGAAGCAGGGACTCGCAACTCATCAGACGAGACCTCGTGCGACTATGGATGACCGTGGGAAGAGGAAGGCCGACGCTGCCCCTGCGGCAAGCGTCCGGGCCAGAAACACTTGGAGCAGGTCAGGTTGGATGAGGTGTACGACCCGGAGTGGCAGGCCACCTTCGACCATCTCTTCCTGAGTGGTTGTATATTGGCGGCGCGCCGGTGTCCCATTTGAGAGGGCGAGGATGACCGAGTAAAGGGCCCTCTCACAACATCTGCAGAAAATGCCAGGGGCATGAAGCCTACTTTGCCCAAATTCAAGCGCTTAGCAGGCAGTGGCATATAGGAGGACCGTGCACACATAGCTGATAAGCTACGTGACATATACGAGCTGATGCAGCACACAGTGGCTACCATCCTCACGGATGGAAGGAAGTCCCTCAACTTTGATCCCATCATGAACTTCCTGGCAGTTGGACAATCGGGCGCCTTCCTTTTTTTGACGGTAAGCAGGGAAGGGGTTGACGCAGAGACGGCAAACGTCATCTTGCAGCGGTGGAAGGTGTTCGAAAAGTTCAGCGTGAAGAAGATCAATGCCTTCTCCACGGACTCTACATTAGTTTATGTTATCGCCGGTCGAGCGGTGCATAACGATCCCGATCCATCTATCTGTCGCATCCCTTGGCTCCCTTGTTCTGTCCATTGCAGCAACTTGATGTTGTCAGACATGGTCAAGGATAAGACATGGGCCATCGAGTTGCTGACGAGGGCGAGGGCGGTTGTGTGATTCATTAGATCTCACGGATCGGCTCTCGCATTATTCAAAATTTACAGTGCCAGGACCGATCGCGATACAAGGGTCGACTATGCGGGTGGCAACACTACTGGCGGAGGGGGAACAGGAAACAAACCACGACACGGCCGAGAGTTGTTGTACCCTTGCCAGACGTGATTCACCTCTATGTACATCATGATGGAGAGGTTCCGCGACTCCAGGGTTCCACTTGAGACGATGATGTTGGAGGGGGAGTGGGCGCGACTTCCATGGGAGAGGAGGCTGCTCGGGCAGGCCAGTTGGGTGCACACGCACGTGCGATGCGGGTTGTTTTGGGAGGAGATGGATGATCTCATCGACGTCTTCACCCCGGTCGTGCAGTTGTTGAGAATGTTGGACCAGGGGGGGTTGGTGATCTTGTGCATCTTCCGGTGGGTTACCCAGTTGGCCGAGGAGATTCGGAAGTTGGAGTTGGCGATACCTCACCTAGTTGGCAACTTGGCTTGCTACAGGATTGTTACGCTCGGGCATGCTATCTGTTGGAGCCCGCCTATGCTGCCGCCCATCTTCTCAATCCGAAGAGGCGGAACTTCGTTTACTTCCAGTCTCTGAATCGCAGTGACTAACAAAAGAAGGTGGCTGAGATGACACTGGAGTACATCTACACGCAGACGGGCTTCGATCGGCGGGGAGAGTGGTACAGGTTGGTCCGTCAGCAGTTGTACGACCTCCACGTGCGCGGGCCGAGGTATGATTGGGGTGGAGATGCAGCGACGGGGGACGAGGACACGTGTGAGGGACCGGAGGAGATGCAGGCCATTGCTGATATGGTGGGTTTTGCACGGCGGGTGTGCCCGTGAGCTTTGTACCATTGCCACGCGTCTGATGTACACGTGGGTTTGCGCCTCTTCTGTGGAGAGGAACTGGGCGTTGCAATGCACGAGCGTATCCACGAGAAGCGCCGCAACGGGATGGACTTCACGAAGCTGACTGACATGGTGGAGATGTGCGCGAACAAGAAGCTCCTGGCGTGTAGACAGAGGAGGAGGGGACTTCTCCTGCCGGCGGGTGATCTCGAGGAGGGGCCAGACGACGTCCCTGAGCCGCGCAGATCAGATACTCTGCCATCGGGGTCACTGAGGGACGAGGAGATCAGACCCCAGGCGTGCAGGATGCAACGTGCCTCGACTGTCCGCCACCCCTCTACGGTTGACAGTGTGTTTGGTCGTCATGCAACTTATATCGAGCTGTATGACAAGGAGATCGAGTACGAGTCACCCACGGGCCCACAGGCAGCGGACGAGATGGAGGCAGAGGCGTGGACGGACCCTGAGGACTTGGAGCAGGGAGGCCGTGACACACCTGACGCTGGTGAGGACTTCGGTGGGGAGAGTGATCATGGGGCTGAGAGTGACATGCGGTCACGACTCACGGGATCGACAGAGCCATTGCAATCCCGCTCGTCTAAGCGCTCGTTTAACGAGGGGAAAGAGTGTGCCTGCGAGAGGGCGCAACCGATCACAGGTTGTGCGATCGTCAAGCGAGGAAGACAGAGATGCTGCCGATGATGTGGACTCCAACGACGAGTGTATGGTTGATCGGGAGCAGTGTCGAACCCCCGTTCACCGTTCACGGGGTTGGTGAAC